TTCGAATTGGAATAAAACAGGTTCCATCGCGGCCCAACAGCTTTGTCGCGGCGCGACAGACAACAGTTTTTGCGGTTTTCTTTTATCATAAATTTTGATCCAGAAATCAGAATAAGATAAATAATATGTCATTGTAAATCTATTGAAGTCTAATTTCCAACCCAATTAGAATCAAATTGATATATTTTCTAGAATAAAATATATGATCGAAATAGTGAGACAGTGTTAGTTTTGGATAGAGTTTGGTATTTCGTTCATATCTTTTTCGTTATAGTTCGGAATTAGGATTATGATATATCATTGGAAATATAATTTCAAGGGCTATCCAACCATTTAAAATTTGGATAAGAATTATGAGACATGAAATTCAATTTTGACCGTCTTTGAATTCAAATAGAACAACAACTATCAAAAAGAGGAGTTTTATACAATTTCAAACTCTTTGATCTTTACTTTTCGGAAAGGATAGATTAGAACCTTCTAGAGATTTCTAGAAGATCCTATAAATCCTAATTGTTTTAGGATTGGGATTAAGGTATTTGGACCCTCCACATGATCATTGGGTTGTAGGTAAGGTGGATCTAGGCTCGGTTTGGGCTTAGTTTGGTATTTTGGCCATAACTCCTTCGTTATAAAGGACACGAAATGAATTTTAAAGACACGAAAAGAATGATTTTGGATTTAAAGACACGAAATAAATGATTTTGGGTTAAAACTTTTTAGGAAAGGTTATAAATGGTCAAGGCTAAAGGGAAATTTCACGAGACTCTTCAACTCTTCACCTAACTCGATAATCAAAGATGTGAAAGGTATTCATCATTGGGTTTGGTTTTTGAGGGGACATAATCAGGTGTCTACACCTCCTATACGAAAAGATACCAAAACTTGGTTCTTAACCCAAACTCCACTATCATCATTGAGCCAACTCAATTTATAAGGGTGAGGATGGTCACGGGAAGGTAGCTTCAACGAGGTAGCCATGGTTTTGGCAGAAGCATTCGTACATGACCCCGAATCAATAATTAAAGAACAAAGCTTATCATTAACTAAACACTTTTTTTGAAAAAGATTTGAACGTTGTTCATGAGATTGTGTATCTTGATGTGTAGTTAACAAAGACCCTCATAATAACATAGTACGTGGTTCGGTTTCGGGGCTATACATAGGCATGTTGCTCCAAACATTCGGGTCTTGTAGCTCAAGGAATTCCCCGTGAGTATCTTGTGCTTCAATATGACCTTGTTTGTTTCGTTGTTCTTGTTGCGTGACAAATAAATAATGCTCTTCTCGGGTCACCATAACTATATTAGGGCAATACTTCGCAACATGACCCTAGCCTTGACAACGAAAACAAACGATTGTCTTTGTTTGCGGACCATTATTTGAGCTCGGACTAGCAGTGTCCTTTGTTGGCTTTGCTTCTTCCAGTAGAGTCATGAGTAGGAACTAAAGGAGGTGAGTTGGACCTAATCGAAGAAGGTTGTTTTGTTGCCATATATTTTGAACTCTTTTGCTACCGTTTAACCTTATAAGAAAGGTTACACAATTCATCAAATGCGGTATATGGTTGTAGCTCGACTTGACGCGCAATGGAGGGGTGTAAACTGAGTAGAAAATTGGCATTGTTTTGCTCCTCCTCATCCTTAATCTCACATGCCATATACAATCTCTCAAACTCTTTAATGTATTGCTCTATGGATATGTAACTTTGTTGTAAAGAATTCAGCTTGATAAATGAATCTTGCTTGTAAGACATGGAACAAATTGCTTCTTCATCCTTGAATCTTTTCTTTGTGGTCTTGTGACCTTCATGACTGCATGGAGTCATACCAAAGGGAAGCATATATTGTGAGCTTTAATATTGCGTAAGAGAAACGTTTATGATCATCAAAGTTTTTATGATCAAAGATACGCTCCATACGTCGCTCCCAATCTAAGTATGTTTCCGGGTCAAGGTCACCATCAAACACCGGGAGATCAACGAGTTTAAGTTCCTCAGTTCGATGAGGTGTGCGTTGGTTAGGGTCACCGTCGACGCGATCCTTCATGACTTCTTGTAGTTGCGTGAGAATGGCAGCCATGGAGGTTGTCTCTTCGTCCGGCTTTCTTCCGTTTTCGCCAACCAAACATTAAGTTTCTTAAATTCCTCCAAGAGTGCAGCAAATTCACCTTGGTTGATCATGTTTAATGGGCTTTAAATTGCAGCCACACCAATTGATGCGTTTCTTTAAGCAAGAAAGGCGGATATTTTATAACGAAGATAGTGCTCTATGTTTCTTGCGTGAGTATTGAATATTTGGCCTTAAACTTGTAATTTTGGTGGCTATGTGTTTGATTTGTAAGTAATGGAGGATATGAAGTTTAATAATCTTTCTCGAATCAATACTCAATTAGGATTTGCTTTCTCGGCTTAATTTCTTGTCTTCTTGACTAACAATAATTCTCAATAAATCAAAATTTTATTAATCTCCAATGAATAAACTGAATACTAACATCGACTATAAATAAGCTAATAAAATCTAAAAAGATATTCTAGCTTAATTATAATTCTATCCTAGTAAAAACTCTTAAAAAGAACTCTTTTTTAAGGTAACAACCTAAAAGATAAAACTCATGACAACTAACAAAAATATATCCTAAGCCTAAAACAAGAAAAACCTTCCCAAGTGAGAAGTAAAAACTTGTAGGCAAACTTCTAAGATTAACAACTATGAATAACCCAACTTATTATGCATCACATTTATACCATTAGAAGGCATTATAAATATATAATACCATTACACTATCTAATGGTACTATTTATTTACTTAATGATATCTTTATTCTTTCATAAAAAGTTCACATTACTCACAAAAATTGTCATGGTAAGTAAGGTTTCAAATCGCACAGCGCATGCTATGTACCAAGACTTAGCCTATTGCACATACCAACTCGATTTGGATTAGCAAACAAAAACTCTTTTTAAAAAAAACCTCAAACGATACTAATTTTCATTGATAAAAGTCACAAATAGGGGTGCTAATCAATTTGAGCAGTTCTCGAGCAACTCAAACTTGACTCGGTCAAAACTCAACTCTAGACGTTAACGATCATGAATTGAGCAAGCTCTGACTCGACTTGATAGGCTCGTGAGCAACTCGATAATATACTTTATTAATATATAATTTTAAAACAAAGTTACCATGATTAAAAAAATTTGACACTTAATAAATATTAAATTATATTATCAAAAAAGTAAAGATGAATTTCTAATAATAAATAAATAAATAAAAAGAAATTTATATAAGTGGGAAAAATAAACAAAGGCATTTAATATTAGAAGGATCAAAACCTTAACGAGCAAATTTGTGAGCTGCTCGACTCAATTCGAAACTTTAACGAGCACAAGTCGAGCAAGGTACTAATGAGCTTAGTGAATAGTGATCACGAGTTGAGCACATGTAAAAAGTTTTTGAGTCGAGCACCCTTCAGCTCGTGATCGAGTCGCTCGATTAGCACCCCTAGTCACAAGACATGTACAATTGACAATTAACAATTAACAACAATAAAAAAAAAGATATAACAAAATCAAACAAGAATTAACCAAGGAAGGGCTAAGAATTCAAACACATAAATATAACAATTCGGCACATTCTAGATTTGTTGTCTTATGCAACTTTATAAGTGAATTCGTTGTCGCTTCGTAATTTTGGGAAGAAGAGAATTCTTGTGATAACTTCGTAATAACTTGAATCCGAGCAACTAACATTGATCAATTGTTAGCTCCGCATAACTTGAGATTATGTTCAATCGTAGAGAAATCTTGTCTTTTGAAACATGTCAAAAAACCTTGTCTTTCGAATTGAAGGAAATTGACAACCTTTTTTTTGAGGTAGACAAGTTCCTCGCAAACAGATGGACCATTAATACAACCAAATAAAATAAAATAAAATAAAACTTTAAAGAAACATAGATTAGGTTTTTTACCGCTAAAATCCAATGGAAGCTTTTCAAAAATCAACAATGGAGTCAGGGTTAAGATAGAGGAGAAAGGTTAGGGTTTTTTTTTTTTTTTTTTTTTTTTTTAAGATTATAGAGATGATCAATTATGACCCGATCCGCTACCCAAAGCCGGCCTAGGCCAAAAAAAAGTGTGTGTTTGGACAAGCCTAAAAACTCATTTTTCAGATTAAAACCTGACCCCAACTCGAAAAAAGATCGAAAAGCTCACTATACTTAATAAACAATTTGAGTGTTTGACAATGTAGTAAAGAAAGTGTCTAGTGATGAAGGTAGTTTATATCAAAAGCTCAGCTTTTGAAAAATAAAATATTTTTTAAAAGGATGCCCACCGGGTTCACCGGAGCTTAACTTCGACTACATTCGGATCCGACCCGGGTCGCACACCTAACTTATGGCGGGTGAGTCTCCCGATAAGAGTTTCTGCATATGGTGAGGCTCAAACCCAAGACCTTCCTTAAATGACATCGAGTAGGCTCGAAAAATAAAAATATCTATTGATACTTTATTCTTTATATGTACGTTATAATTTTTTACCAGTAAAATTTAGTCAACAACTAATTTATAGAAAACTCATATTTTAATTATCTTCACGTCTAATAACTACTCCTACACATCTACAAGACTACAACAACATTTTGTCAAACAAAGACTTAGTACCATATTTTGGCTGTTTGAACATAATTTAATATTGTACTCCATCTGTTCCTTATTGATCTCAATCTAAAGAATGGAAAAATTCTTGTGTATTGCATCGAATGATGTACCAATTTTTATATGGGAGGCTTTTTGTAATTTTTAAAAAAAAAAAAAAAGAACCACATTAAATTCAACATAATTTCATGCCTTCTTTTGCTAAATCCTTGTTACTGGAAAAGATCTCAACCAATCAAAATTAAGAATAGATTTTATGGAGCAAATACTTCAATCACATGGATTAAACCTCAAATATAACTTGCAAAGTTAAAAGAACATTATTTTGTGACGGAGGCAGTACAATATTAAAGGAACAATGGCCTTTGTCAAACATTTTTAATTATGTTCTGGTTATCAGTGTATCAAATAAATACAGGACTATTGACATACTTCGTATAATACAAGCCCAAAACATTATTTCCCTACTTACAAATAATACAAGCCTTGTGAGTCGATCTCCAGTACTCTCATACTAGAGAGGAAGCATTGCAAACCATTTCAAAAGCATGGTGAAGCATTCAGAACGCTTATACTCTGGAGCAGTATGTCCTGCTCCCTGCAAGTTAACAATTCATGCCTAATTATGTTACTCTTTCAAACTATATATTAAAAAGAAAGTGTCATCTCTATACCTTCACAGTTGCAAATGTTACATGATATTTGTCATTTGAGAACTTCGTAGTATACCTGCACTCACAATTCCAAATTTAAGAGGCTAATATTTTGTTCTTAAGTAGACCAGGTAAATATTGGGAAACTAATGCAGTATGGTTGATTTCATGTACAGTAGTTAATTAGTTACTTACCCGGCAACTTGACCATTGACAAACCATGGCCTCCAATCTTCAGAAATCGAGACATTTAACATGTTTATCCATTCCAATGTTCCAACATATGATACTTTCATGTCTTGGTCACCACTGCAATTAGTGCACTTAATATAAAATAATGCAGACAAGAAACAAAAGAAGTGGATTGGCCTCTTGCTGTTAGCAGTAAATGATGAATCTGATATTTTGAAATTAAAGATATATCTTGGGTTGAGATTTTTAATTGATAAAAAACATTTTCAATCAATAAAAATATCAAGTATGAACCAAATGAAGATCCTTAATAGTCCAAATTAATGTTCATGCTCCTAAATGAATTGATGATATTGTATGCCACATGTCTAATGTTTAACTATAAAAAATCTTATATTCTTTTCCTCAATTTTCTTTTTCCAAAAATCAGGAATTCATGACACTTTATATACATCTAGCATTTTGCAATTGGAATATTTTCTGATGATCCATTTATCAATTTTACACAACAGAACACATGATTCCATTGAATATGTGATCTCTTTTTTCTTGGATAAAAATGTTAAGGCATTGGCACACTGTTATTAATATGGCACAAACATTGTTTAAGTGATATGCTAGTACACTTTAAACTGAGCACTCTAGATGTTCCTCAATTAAAATGGACAAATGATAGCAGCTACATAATAACTACTTCTGTAACAAGGTGTAAATCTAGTGCCGGGAATTTATTACCTGTAGATCAGTGCACGAATATAGTCTTGTGTTAAATTTTGATGGTAACCAAAGGTGCTCTCAACATTGTTCTCATATGCTAGAGTTTTATTACATCTGATCCAAGAACTTTTAGTACCCTATTAAGGAAAGAAAAGTACATAATGCTAAACAACACCACATGATATAATGAGGGAACGAAATCAGCTACTACATCATAGAAATATGGCTTGAATCTTACCCAAAATTCAACAAATTACAACAAATTACAATTCAAATGAACTTTTTATCACAAGAGCGGTAGCTGCCTGATGTTTTCTTTTTTTAGTGCTACTTTTTATGGCGTCCACTTGAGAGTTCAAATATGGTATCAGTTTTATTCATCTTTATTTTTTAATTATTAAGAAAATACTAGGCCTAAGTAAAGCAAGGAAAGAATCAGAAGAGGATAATTATGTAATTATGATATTCATTGTGGATTTGGCATTTTTAAGAGTTAAGTTAACAAAAGGGCTCTAAGTTTTCTACTTTTTCACCGTTTATTCGTTTAGGTACTTATCCGGCCAAAAATAAATAATTCCCTTAAAAAACTTAGTACCTTGGGTTAAAAGCTTAAGGCCCTTGGTTAACAATTGTTACACATCAGCATATTTTACAAAAAACGAAGTTAGATAATTATTTTTATGGTTTATTTTTTTTAACTTAGCAAATAAAAATAGAAAACAATGTTTAAAAACCTACAAATCTGGAAAATTAGCTACTCCGTATTTTTTTTTTCACCAAACCCCATTAGTCCAGTATGAAATTTTCTCTCCCCTTAACAATCCAACCATCTCCTTTACCATTTTTTTACTCCTAAACATTCACTTTTTGGTGCTCTTTTTTTTTAAAAAAAAAAATAGAGCAATCAAAATTAATTAATTATAGTCAGAGTACAAACACATAACTGAGTTCAGAAGCCAACTAAGGCCATTGCCCTTAAGCCAACAGCAACAGCAACAGCAACTAGAGTACTGAGTACATCCTAATAGAAGAGTTTGCTAAGAAAATTAAAACAAGCACATAAAAGGGATTAAGATCCAAGCTTTGATTAGTGCAGCCGCAAGAAAAACTGCCCCACTTAGATACAACCACTGATATCATCTTCATAAGCATCCTTTGCACAGTTAGGGGCTTCATCATATAGCTTCCCTCCCCCCTCTAAATCCAAAATCAGATTTGTTCATATTAATTATTGTTGAGGTGTACTTATCTTCAGTTTTTGTGCCATTGCTGAGGTGTAATTATTGTTAACTAAGGTGTAATTAAAACTGATGCTTTTACATTTATTTCTTTGAATTGTTATTTTTTTTTTATTATTACCTATGGTTTACGGTAGGGTTAAAGGGGAGTTAACTTGCCGGATTTAGGGGATGAGTACCCAAAGGGTGATAAAAAAAAAACTTAGCACCCAAAGGGTGAAAAAAAATGAAAACCTATGGCCCTTTTGTTAGCTTAACTCCATTTTAAAACTTCTTTCATTCTAAAATTCTTAAAAGCAACATACATTGGAAGCATTTCCATCAATTAACTATTTCATATTTACAATCCCAAACATGATTTTTATCTCACAATAGTAGTTTTCACCATGATAAAGAGTACATATACGGATATACCTCTCGAATGTGAAGAGCTGCTCGAACTTGTATGTCATTAGACCAATTTTCCAAGAGATAGTAGATGCTCTCCTACAAAAATGGTAGATGTGCTCAGTAATTCTCTACAGCAAATTAACTCATAACTAGTAATTAGCAAACAATCTGATGGGGCTAGCATGTAGCCAAGAGAGCAAGAAGCTAAGTCAGCATTAGATAAGTCTTAGGATTTGGTGTTTAGATATTATCAGCTACTAAACATTAAACTTGTTTTACTAAACTTTGCAGAGCATTGAGAATCAAACAGAAGAGAGTAGCATTTGAATATCATCTAAATCAACCTATAAACATCACAGTGTTGAGATAGACATCGTGTAGATATCCTTGATTTTTGTGAATCCATGAGTGCATTAGGACTTAATCTCTCATGCCAAATATCATTATAGATGATTAAGGGTGTCTCATATCTCCTCCACCCTTGTGAGAGGATCATAAAGCCTTTTTTGGTTATTTGAATTTCACGAGATTTACCATTCATTTGTATGCAGCCGTTTCTCCTTACTTTGGATCGTTTCTCCTCATTAAATATTGACAAAATACCAACTTGGCTCTAACACCAGTTGTTAGGAAAAAAATGCAACTTCCCCTTATAAATTAAATTAGTGAGAATAATAACAAGAATAGTGCTATATACAGCCCAAAAGCATTAAAATACAATTCCTAAAATGGTATAAATTTGAAAATATATGATAAAAACACTTGTAGACAGATGTAAGTAATAATGCTTAGTTATTCACAATCTTTTCTTTTTAGCATCTTATAAGCATATAGCATTTTCCAAATTAAATCAAAATAACACAAACAAATATAAGTTGATGAATTGGCAAGTGTGTATCTCTACATATGCTACAAAATTTGTAGTTAAAAGATAATAATGACAATTGTTTACAATAACAATAGCAATCCACAACCCACACACACCCAATTGCACCTTTTCTAAAAGCTAGTTTCTCTCTGAGATTGGGTTCACAAAGGGTATTGTCTTCATGAGATAAACTATGTATTAAGCTAGTTGGACTCTGAGATTGGGAAGTTATCTTTATACATTGCTAGGGATGTGAAATGAGTAGATTAGCTAGCAAACTATGGAGTTAATCAGACAGAGTAATAGATCTCTATTTTAGCACACGATGTAATAGATCTCTATTTTAGCACACGATGTTTCTTCGTGTTTTCTAGTTTTATTCTCAGATTGGCACACACACACGTGTATGAACTTTGACATCGATAAAAAAATAAATAAATAAATAAATAAACATAGGATTAATAAGACGAAATAAATTAGGAAAAATGGAAACTAATAATCCCACCTTTTCGAAATCTGGAAACAATCCCACCTATACATCTCATATTCTCAAAATGAGCCTTTTACCGGATTATTAAGTTGTTAACCTGTTGATGAAGGTTAAATGCCACGTGTCTCCTTTTTATTGGTCCTATTTTAATTTTTTTAATTAATAATAAGAAAATAATAGGGGGGGGGGAAAATAATCAGGCCCCCACCATCTTCTAATCCCTTTCCTGTTCCCCTTCTATCTTCCCAATCAACCTGAACCAGCACCCCCCCACCCCCTGCCGGAGCACTCCCCTTCCTCGCCGAAAACACCCCCATGCCATTCCCCGATTCCCTCCCCTTCCCCTTTCCGCTTCCTTTACCCCCTGCCGGAGTTAGTTTCCACTGTCGGATCACGTGGGTTGGGTGGGGAGCTGGTGTTTGGGTTAAGGGTCAGCTGGACTCTGGGCTGCTGGACCATGTGGGGAGTTTCGGGGTTGGGTGGGTGGGGTGCTGCCAGTCCAGGTGGGTGGGTGGGGGGAGGGGTGTTGGACATACGGGATTAAGAATCTGGGTTGGGTCAGGTGGTAGTGTCATGGTGTAGTGGTGTTGGTGAGGCGGTGGTTATGGAGGAGGTGGTGGTTATGGAGTTTTCAGGTGGTTATGGAGTTTTTCAAGTACAAGATGAAGGAGGAGAGAGTTTATAGAGAAAGAAAAAAATAATTACCTGTAGAATAAGTTGGAGGTAAAAGGGATCATTTTGAGTAGATAAGGGTCAAAGACGGGATTGCTTTTATATTTCGAAAAGGTGGGATTGTTTTGAGCAGAAATGGCAAAGGTGGGATTATTAGTTTCCATTTTCCCAATAAATTATGGCAGTAGGATCACTATGACTATTCCAAACATAAAATTTGATCATCATTGTAGAAGCTATTATTAAATCAGGGACCATATTTATCTTTGGGGTGGGGAGGCTACCAAAATACAAAGTAGAAGTAAAAAGACATAACAATCATGTACAAGGGATACATACCTGGCACCATGTTTGATGTGATACACATTTAGGTCTTAAGAC